GAAATATACCTTGACCAAGATCTGATTAGTCAACATTAACGGAAGAATGACTATGAAGACATGTGGGTTAGGTGGCTTGGATTCGTTGACTGAAAACGACGTCGTTTCATTGTTTTAGTAAAACGACATCGTTTTCATCTCGGGAAAATACAAAATTAAATAAATAATTCGATAGACCCCCACTCAAATTAGCATTCGATTTATCAAATTAGGGATTCGATTTTGTGTTTTCTCAAAGTCAAAACGACGTCTTTTTACTAAAACAACGAAATGACGTTGTTTTGAGCCAACGAAACCGACCCACCTAACCCACATATCATTTTAGTCATTATTCCGTTTACATTGACTAACGGAAACTTGGTCAAGGTATATTTTGGCACATCACATGTTACTTTCATGTATTAAATTTGAATCATTTTTTAGTTCAAATTGAAATAAAGCATATGTAAAAGTTCAGGTCTAAAAGTCCAGGTCGAAATTGGTCGTTTTTCCTTATCTCTATCATGAAACCAATGAGAAATAAACTTGCCAATAAAAAGAAAATAATATTTCTGGTGCGTGCCGTCTTCGTAAGCAAGTCAGTTTTTCTATTCATCTTCCGTCGCTGATAGGTTTTGAAGTCAGCTTTCCCCAAAGCATTGTTCGCTTAGTTCTGGTAAGAAACAAGGCCATTCGTAAGGTGATTCAACCATGTTTCTCAACTTCCTAGAGTCTATTACAAACAGTGAGGCATATCACCTTTTCCGTAAAAGGCTTTGCATAGCGCATAAGAAACCATGCAGTTTAGTATGTAGTGGTGAGAGGTTATGCCAATTATCCTAAAATTTTAGCATATCCATTGTTCCATCGTGTAGTTGAAACATTCATTCTACTTCACTTGTCTGATCGTCATTTTTATAAGATCCATCCATAAAATATGTAAATGCGCTATACGCACACTTCTACTCAAAAATTAAAAAATGACCTAGATACTAGTATATAATATATACGATATCTATTATAATTTTTTGCATCGCTCATCAAGTATATTAATCTTTTTTATCAACTCAAGTATATGAGTTTAGAAATACAGAAAGTGAAAAATATTTCACATATCTAAATAACTAAAATTTCTAATGTAGGACATAAACTTAAAATATTCTTCATGTTATTTTTTTGTTTAACACTGTTTTTA